TGAGCACCCTGACGCGGCCCCCTCCCCCACAGCTGGCAGCAGCCTGGCACCCAGTATCCTGGCCTGTTTGCGGACTTGTTAATTGTCTCTCTCCCACGGGCAGGGGCAGGGACTCGGGTCTGTTCTGCTCGCTGCCAAATCCCTACCTCCTGGAATGGGGCCCAATCCGTGGTGGGTCAGTGTCCAGTGGACGGAGGGACAGAAGGATGGATGATTCCTGTCCCCGAGCGAGAAGGGGTAGATGGTCTCCAAGAACACAGGCCTGCCTCCCAGCCCATCTGGCAGCCCCAGCTGCTTGGGTCATCAAAGCCATTTGTTATCAAAGCCAGGGCACCAGCCAAAAAACCCTACGCTGCAGTGCCCACCAGGGCCTTTTGGGCCAGTGACCCCCCCCCAGGGGTCTCTGCTCCTTCTTCCCAGGATTTGCAGGGCACATGCAGACTGTCACCAGAGCCTGGCAGGAGAGGGAGGGGTGGGACCCATCCAGGGTAGCATGGGCAGGGTAGGGGCTGGGATACCCAAGTGTGTCAACACAGGCCCCAGGCAGGGCACCCAGAGAGCCACATCTGCTCCACCAAGAGCCACCAAGGGGGATCAGGGCACAACTCCAGCGGCACCAGGACCCCTGCAGACCCAGGCCCGGGCACTGGTACCTGAATACAGGCTTACCAGCAGCTGCCCCAGAGCCCAGACTGAGAGTCTGGGGGGCAGAGTGGGGGCAGGGGCACTGGGCCTGGCCGACCAGCCGGGCCGGACAACTAGACAGACAGAGTGTCTGGCGCCTGCTCAGCCAGGCTGGCCCTCGGCTCCCTCCTCACAGCTGTGGCCTTCCTTCCGGAGCTGGTGTTTCCTGGCTCCTCCCTGCTGTTGCCGTGGAAACCTGGGCAGCCTGGGCCCCCCCACCCCGTTCCCACGGAGCCCCCGCTGAGCACCGAGTGGAGCCCACACAGGACGCAGCAACACCCGAGGACACGCATGGCCCCAACACCCCGGGGCTCACATAGCTGGACACCCCAACTCTTGTCCAGCACAGTATCCCCAGCATTTGGAAACAGCCTCTGTGGCACCTGAGACCCACCCAAGTGACTGAACTGGACAGTCCACAGCTCATCTGCCCTGCGGCCACCGTACTGGGGGCCTCCTTACACATGCTGCGTTCAGGGCCTCCACACCCACCAGGCCCTGTGCCCTCCCACCCAGAGAAGCCCCATTCTTGGTCCTGCTAGCCAAACACAAAAGGCAGACCCCACTCTTGCACGACACCCCTATACTTGCAACTGCACTGTCCTCTCCATGCAGCCAAGACGCCTACAGTAACAGCCCTACCACCACCGAGCACACACACACCCAGCCCTGCCCAGGACTCCCATGTCACAAGAAAGGGGCAAACTGTGCACTGATCCCAGCACTCGTGAGAGCTGCCGCCTGGCAAGTGTGGGCACCGTGCCAGCTTTCTCCAGCTCTACCCCAGCCGCCCTTTCCCAGGAGTGAGGCCCATGGTGCTTGGGAAGCCCAGCAGCTCTCTGCATACCAGGCCCAGCACCCAGGACCAAGAGCAGGAAGGCATGGGGCCAGGCAAGTCAGCTGTCCCCAGGCACGAGCCCCAGGGTCCACCTGCACCAGGCCTGTCCCTGTGAGACATGCCTGCACTGTGCACACACGTGTGTCAGCTTGGTTCTAGGCCTTTGGACAGCCTCCCCAGAATCCTCATCCCCACCCCACCCTCCTCCAGTCCTTGGAGCAGCCTCAAGGATGAGCAAGAGGACCCAGGCTGGGCCTGGAGCCCTGGCCTCCAGGACCACAAGGTAGGGTCTGAAATGGGCAGCCTGGCTCCAGAGCTGAGGTGTCAGGAGACCAGAGAGTCCTCTCCACCTGGACTCCACCCCCACCTCTGGGAGCAGGAGGGTCTAGCCCTGCGGGACTCAGTAATTGGTCCCAGCCCCGGCTGCTCCGGCAGCAGCCGGGGCTGGGCGGGTGGGATCCTGTGAGGTCTATGCCCCGGGCAGCGCCTGGGAGGTCTGCCACCCCCAGAGCCCAGCCAATCCCCCACCCAGAGTCACTGAGGGATTTCCCAGCATCCTTTGTGGGCTTTGCCTGGAGCCTGGGGGTCTGGTCTAGGCTGAGGGAGGCAGTAGGCAGAGGGCCAGGAAGGCAGTGTCCACTGGCCACCCAGGCCAGCCCTCACTCACAGCGCAAGCTTGCCCTCCATACTACCTTCTGTCCAGGGAAATGGGGGCTGCAGACAGGGCCCCCTCCAGGGTGGGTGGCAACAGACCTGGACCAGGCCAGCCTGAGGTGGTCCTGAAGACATAGGAACACCCCAGACTCTGAATCACCTCCACTGTGGATGAAGTGGGGGCCACAGCTTGGCAGCCAGAGAAATCGTGGGAACCCTCCCGTGGTGGGTATTGAGAGCCACAGCCTCCATTCTGCTCCTAGTGGGACTCTGACCTGTTTCACCCTCACACCCAGGCAGATACATACACACAGGCCACACACAGATGCAGACACACACCTCTGAGGCACAGCCGGCCCCACCCTCGCCAGCCCTCCTGCAGCCCTGGGGAGTACCCTTGGCCCTGAGGTTCCCAGGTCAGGGCCACCCTGACTGCAGCTCCCACCCCGTCGTTCTCCTGTCTGGACAGTGGGCTAGAGCCACCATTAGCACCCCTGCCAGACAGCGCACAGGGGAGGGTACCTGACCCAGAGATGAGGAGTTACCCCAGGAGGCTCGCCCTTGCCTTGCCCAGCCCCAGCCCACAGGACGTGACAGCCAGACCCTTGAGTCCCACAGCTTAGCCAAGAGGGCTGGAGCCATCTGGGGTTAGGTAGTTCTGGGCACTGCCCGCCACTAGGCTCCCAGCTTGAACAACTCTGGGCTGTCAGGGGCCCCTAGGGGAAGCAAAACTCCATCCCACGGTAGGGGGCAGCAGTGGAGGACCCTGGAGGCCTCCTTCCCAAACCCAGTGATCCTCATCCCAGGTTAGCTGCTGCCCAGGCTGAACCAGTCCCTGGCGTCCCCAGGCCACCCAGAAGGCTGCAGGGAGAAGTAACCTCTGCTAAGCACCCGCCCCTTGGCCCCATCCTTTAGCCTAGAGTCTTCCTCACTCATCTCTCCCCACAATCCCTGCAGGCTGCTCGGCCCACCCAGCCACCCACAGCGGTCAAAGGGGAGCTGGCCCCGGGGGAGAGGCCTGTACACCTGTCCCCCAGGGCCCCCCATTCTTGTCTGCCTCCCAGAAAAAGTCAGTCTTCCCTTCTAGACCCAAGAGAAGCCACTTTGACTGCCCCAGTACACCAGTGTGGGCTGAATCAGTGAATTAGGCGCTCAGGCCTGGGAGATCTGGAAACTAGTCTGGAACCAACCCTACATGAAAAACCTGACCTGGGGACAGGGCGCACACCCAACAGTGTCCGTGTGAGAACCCCTGTGGGGCACTGGCCTCTCCCCAGGACAGCTCAGGAGCAGATATGGGAGAGGGGAGCTGTAGGATCCACAGGGGACTCACCCCCTTCCCAAGCACTGACTGTACGTGGCCTAAAGGGACTACCAGGGACAGAGTACTGAGAGCCTCTGGCCACACAGACCCAGGGTCACCGACACCCGTGGCCACGCACCATGGAGCTCCCAGCACTTGAGGGGTGGGGCTCCTCCCAGGCTACCAATGGATGTGCGGGAGGGAAAACTGATCCCTCCCCAGGGCTGCTGAGGGCACTCGTCCCACCTCTAGCAGAACCACCCACCGCAGGAAGGGACTGGGAAGGAGACTGCCCCAGGAGAGACCTTTCAGTTTCTGTAGCCCAGACCCCTGGTGGGGAGGCAACTGCAAGGAGGCTGGAAGCTCCTCTGGACACCCTCCCAGGTCTGATGGCCCCTTTCCCCCCACCTGCCGGAACCCGGGGTCCAGGCTTGCTCTTTTGCAGCAGCGCGGGCCCCGCTGCACAGGGGAACTCAGTTGCTACTGGTCCCAACCGGCCCTGGGGAGGAGGGTGGGACCTGGGGCTCCACCCACTCTAGATCCCTCCCCTCTGGCTCTGGCATGGGTCCAGAGCATCTACCTTCTCCCTCCCGGTGGTACGCAGCTGTGGCCCACCTGGTTCCCATCAGTTCGGGAGTAGGGGCGGGGTCATGCCAAGATCATCTTTCCCTTTAACCCCATGAACAGGCCTGCGGGGGGCTCGAAGCCCCCAGTGCTGCAAGTTCCACGTGTGGCTGGAGGATGGAGAAGCATGACGCCCTGGGGTTATCCAGGGCAGCTCCCCCAGGACGCAGGGCACTTTTCCCAAGGCGTCCTGCCCTCGGAGTTAGACTCTGTTGGGGAGGCAGCCTCCCCCAGTTACCGGTAGGGGGTCTGACTCTGGGTGGGGGGCAGCTCGTCTCTGAAAGTCTGACCGCCCCATGAACACGCCCCCTTCCAAGTTTCAGGCCATATCAGCCGCCCTTTCCCACTCGGGGGTCTCTTCTTTGGGGAGGATGCTGGCGTCGCCGTGCGTAGGAGGCCCCAGCGGAATCCTGCCGGGCGGAGAAGAAAGGGAGCCCCCAGGAGGAGGGGGCAGCCTAGGCCCGCCCCGCCCCGCCCCCCCCC